GGCGACTGGCGGGTGGTTGCGGGCTCTATGCCGTCCTATTTTCCCATGTTTTCTAAGCTGCGTGTATGCGTGCAAGCCGTGCGCGTGAGCACAGCACATGCGTGGAAGGCACGTGCACTCACAAAGCCAGCGTGCGCGCGCACTCACGTTTTCAGTGCGTGGCGAGAACCGGGGGGTAAACGAATGTGAAACCCAGCTCTGCGGAGGGTCAAATAGGCACTCCGGAATCTTTGTTTCCCCCAAAACGAACTAACTTCCCGGTTCTCTAAATCAGGAATGGGTTCCGGCAGTTGCTACTGCCGGTTCGCTTGTGGGCGTGGCGTGCATGCATGCTCAGTGCAATAAAAATTGCTCTGCGCATGTGCAGAAGCAAAAAAACAAGATGTCGGCGCCTATGGCACCACCCGGAGAACTGCTTCGGGAGCATGGCAGGCCTGGGTCGCTGCCGATTCCAGCCGCCTGGGCCACCAAACCACTACTAGTTCAGCCAAACCAGTCCGAACCAGTAGGAACCCACCACTGGTCTAAATCCCAAATCCGAAGCAGATTTGGGGTCCAAGCAGATTCTATTTGATCTCCTCTCTGACCTTTCAGGGGGTCTGATCTTTTTTTTTTAACGACAGCTCCCCCAGCCTTAAAAGATGAAAACGTCACTCCCGACACTTGGATAACATCTCCTGAAGCACCAACGAATCTTCTTCCCCATCCACCCACCCAAACCAGAAATGGATCGTGAAGGACCCTACCTGTGCTGGAGCGAGCCTTAGGCCTGGATTTGCACCCAAATCCGGTCGGTGATCCCCCGAGAAGACTGCTCGGGGGGAAAAGTCCAGAGCCGTATTCGGGGACGTAGGAAGGATAAGTGGCGATCGGATGATGGCCAGAAGAAGAGCCTCCCAAGGACGCCATGTTGCTCCGGGAATGAGACGATTCCAGCTTCATGGTTTCGGCCAGCGACACCTGGTACTTAATGCACTCCTTCTCTTCTTGGCGGCTCGACCCCGTGGAGCCCGGGGTGGAGATGGAAGGATCTGGAGAGACATCTTTCGGAGGGGTCGGCGGGAAAGTGAAGAGGTGAGGACTGGAGTGGCCGGCCGACAGCGTGGAGGTAGAAGCTGGCGGGTAGACGGAGAGAGGTCCCGGCGAGCCGTGGTGGATGGGAGCTTTGGAGAAAGGACTCAGGTTCCATGGGGCAGCGCCGTGGTGGCTTCCCAAAGCTTTGCTCCCATCCAGCCAAGGGAGGGACCCGTGCAGCAAAGGTGGGCGACATACCTGGCTACCTGCCGGGACAGAAGAAGACAAAGGAGGCCTCTGTTAGGTGGGCTTTTCCTTGAACGGACTTCAGACAAGAATCAGCACATCAAACATCCCAACGAGGTTTGTGTAATTGTGCAAAATCATGTGCACGCCAAACCGGAAGTAGTACCAGCAGAAACCCACCCTTGGCAGGTAGCTAGGTATTGAGGGAGAGGGAGGGAGGGAGGGAGGGAGGGAGGGAGATAGGGTGATAGAGTGATAGAGTGATACTGTATTTCCACACACATATACATATATTCACACAATGATAGATACATAATAAATGATAGATAGATAGACAGACAGATATAATGTATATATACATACAAAATTATACACATAGATGAGAGTGGGGAGAGAGAGGGAGAGAGATACTGTATATAAACACACATTATATACATATATTCACACAATGATAGATACATAATAAATGATAGATAGATAGACAGACAGATATAATGTATATATACATACAAAATTATACACATAGATGAGAGTGGGGAGAGAGAGGGAGAGAGATACTGTATATAAACACACATTATATACATATATTCACACAATGATAGATA